AAAAAAGAAAAGAAATTGAATTATAATGTCTTTGCTTCTGTCACCACAGACAGAGGCAGGTCTTTGTGTGCATGTGGTGTCCACGCTGCCCCCGGGGCCTGGGAAGAGGCAGAGAGCGGAGATGGGCATGGTCCCAAGGAACTGCCTCTTGCTGAGGGTACTGGGGCCGTAAATCTGGATTCCATTAATGAATATGAGAGTCTGGGATTGGCTACCAGCAGTTTCTGGTTAGACCAGAAACTCGAGGATTGATTGGTTGTTCTCTTCTTGTTTAGGATGACAACTGGAGCTTCATAGAACCTTAGCCCATGGGGCCGAGATTTCTTTGTAGGGTCCCCTCCCAGCCATCCTTGCCCCTAGCTCTGCCTTCCCCGACTTACCTTTCCTTACCTTATTGCCCACCCCAACACACACACACCATGCAGGGCCCTTGGCATTCATACCCTTGAGGTGGGAGAGAGCTAGGGTGGGGGCATGTGGGGAGAGAGGGAGGAAGTGTGGGGGACATGTGTGAGTGTGACATGCATGTGATGTCAGCTCGTGGCTGCTGCTCCTCTTTGCAGGAGTCCCCCTGGCCGACTACTGAAGGCCCCCCTCTGCTTGGGACAGCGGGGCTCCCCCATCCCCCAACCTCCCTCCAGGGCTGACTCAAAGTGGTTTTGGCCTAAGAACTTCCTGGGAACTGCCAACAAAACAAGAATAATACTGTTTACTAAGCTTGAGGCTATTTCATTCCAACGACATTACGATGAGAAAATCGATTTTGAGTACTTATCTCTCTTAAAGTTAAACAGCCAACACTTGAACCCTGTTCTATCTGTCTAGCTGTATTCAAACCTTTGTACTATTTTCACAAAGGAAAGCAAGAGCACAGCTTGCTCTCCTGCCGGTACCACACTCACTTATATTCTCTGCACCCCGCCCAAGGGTATATTCCCCACTTCTTAGGTCTCTGCCCCTCCTTCAAATAAGGGCCTCTGTGAACTGGACAGGGCAGCCACGTTTGCATGGCGTCTGGCTAAATGTCTACCCCAGAGTTCAGAGGGGCCTTCTGTGCACAAACTCTCTCACGTCTTCTCTTGCAGCCAACAGGAAAGCCGGGTGTGCAGTCACATCTCTGCTGGCCTCGGAGCTGACCAAGGATGATGCCATGACTGCTGTTGCTGCCAAGGTGCCCAAGATCAGTGATGGGGTCCCCACAATCCTTGAGGAAACCAAGGAGTTGGTTGGCCGTGCAAGCTAATCTGGGTCCTGTGGCCGAGGCTCCTCCTCAAGTGGAGCCCCAGACTGTCCTGCCTGCAGCCTGTGCCTAAAGGGTCATGGAGATATCCCTGTGGGGTGGCCACTCCCATTGCCCTGACCCTGTCCTCTGGCCTGCTGCTCTCTGTCTGTCACACAGCTTCAGCTGCCTGGGGGCCAGCAGGAGAGGGCGGTAGGGGGAGGCCTGAGCCCAACCCAGCCAGCCCTGGCTGTTGCATTACCAAAGCAGGCTCTGTGTTCGCTGCCTTAACCCCAAGTGTCTCCTCTGTGACTCCGAGGCCTGGCTCAGACAGAGTCCCACCTGCTTTCTCAGCCCCTGGCTTTCCAGTGGGCTTCCCATAGGTCAATCTTGCTGGGTCTGTGCTTTAATTTTGTGGTTTCTCTGGCCCTGAGAGCAGCATGGGGCTTGTGAACCTTTGGGCTATATCCCACCTGTATTGCGGTCCCCTCGGCTCTGCTCTCTCTTCTCCTGGCTGCTATTTATTGCTAGTGGTGTGGCACTGGGAGCTACTTCTAAGGAAGTGGTGAGAAATCCACCCTTACTCCTTCCTGAGAAAGGCCTCCCAGAACAAAAAGGACCTGGACCTCTTTTGTGTGTCCCATGGGGCTTAGGCCAGAGCCGTGGACAGCCGAGCATAGAGACGTGAGACCGCCCCAGCCTGCTGCCATGCTGTGTGCCCTGCCTCTCCGGACCCTCTGCACCACCCCAGGCTCCTGAGCCATGTCCTTCCTGCCTCCCCAGAGCTTCGGTGCATCTCACCTGGAGTATTGTGACCATCCCAACACCTCACCCTCTGTCTCCAAGGAAATGGGAGGTGGAGCCTCCTGGCTGAGAAATTGTTTTGCAAATGGATCTATTTTTGTATGAGATTTTTTTTTTTTTTAAGAAAAATAACTTCCTTTCCCCTTTCTCCTCCATAATGTAAGAAGCTTTGATGGCAGGTTCCAGAGTCCTTGGGATTTCTCCCCCACAGGCCTCAACCGGGACCCTGGGCCTCCACCTCAGCCCTCAAGCTCTGGGCCCCTGATGCCAGTGTGGATTCTCTCTCCCAGTACCCGGTTCTGGTGGAGGAGGAGGCTCTTCTCTGGTTGAGCTGAGCCAGGCCTAAGAGCAGTGGGAGCTCTGAGACCAGAGTTTTTATAAATTTAATATATTTATCAAGCCAAATGTGCAGATGCTAACTGGACACTCTGGGGATGTGGGCACAGGAGTGCTCCCACACTTTGTACTCCTGCTCCCTTCTGAACAGTGGGCAGGCCAAACTGTTCAGTGGCCCCAGCCACAGGAAGCTCAGACCGGCCCAAGGTGACACCTGTGCCACCTGGGCAGGGAGAGAAGAGCACCGTTAAGGCTTGGCCCACATACGGTTGTTAGTGCAGCGGGAGCTAAGGGGAGACTGGGGCACTCGAGGCCAGGAGGAAGGTTTTGGTTGCTAGAGCCTGTGTGAGGGCCAACAGCAGTTCTTGGAGCTGTCCCGGGAAGACTGGTACGAGGGCCCTGCCGCTCCCTACGTCTCCTTCCTCCCTGCTGACATCCGGGGCTTTGACCCTTTCTTTTTTAATCTACTTTTGCTAAGATGCATTTAATAAAAAATGAATATTTAAAAAAGGGACAAAATGCAGACCTATTTCCCTTGCCTCTTGGGCTTCTGGGATGTCATCACCTCCAGTTTGTTGGTTTCGTTTCCAACTGTTAATAAAGCATTGAAACAGTACTATGTACAGCCTCTGTGTGAGTTTCTGAGCTAGTTCTTTTCCCTCATCTTGCTCTGCGTCAAATCCCTGGTTGACTGACAAATCATTGTAAAATAGTCCCAGGTGTCCATCATGTGCCAGAAACTGGTTGAGGCCTAGAGATGCTTAATACATGGTGGCTTCTGCCCCACTATTTCCCACCATTTGCCCTCCACAAAGGCCCCAGTTCAAGACCCCCGCCCTTCCTAATTGCTGCCTTTGGCTCGGAACCCTGTTTTTAAATTCAGTTCTAGGTCCCACCTCTCCATGCCCCCAGATGTCAGTTTCCTGGGAGTACCTGTGCCTCTTGCTGAGGGAAACATGATTCCCCCACCCCCGCTTCCATCTCCCCTGCCTCCTTTGTCTGCCACAGACCACATTCCAGACTAGAGGGATGCCGTGGGTGGAAACCTGAGCCTGTCCAGCAGAGGTCAGAGGCCAGAGGTCATGCTCCAGATGACTTGCTGCTCAAAGTCGTACTTGTTTGAGCACTTTGTGACCTGCACAAAGAAACCTTACAATCTCTGAGCAGGCCCAGAATAGGGCGGGAGGGGCCTGGAGAGGACCACAAACCCATTTGGGCAGGCTCTGGAACTGGAAATAAAAGCCTTTTAAATAGCTCTGGAGCCCGGGCAGCTGCTTCCCCAGTAGGTCTGGGGGTGTGGGGGTGGGCTGCCTGCTTCCTCTCCTCCCCCCGAGACCAGGCGTTTCTGACTCGGCTGTATGGGCACACATACCAATTAAGGGACCAACCACAGCTGCTCACACTCTGCTCTGAGAGTCGGAGCCTAGAATAGAACCCAGGCGCCCGGCTGCCCGCTTCTGCAGCCCGGCTCTCAGAAACGAAATCCCGCTTCCATCTCAGCGACCGCGCGCACCACCCTCCCTCCCACGCAGGAAAAGTCGCCCCCCAGATGCTTAGTTGGAAGGCTTGGTTTCCATGACAACAGACTTGAGCTGGCAGAGCGCACAGCTCGGCTCTGAGAGGCTCCGTGCAGAGGAAGCCCAGAGACAGCCTCCTCCCTCCCGGCGGTTGGTCATTCCCTCGCTGACCCTCTGGATAGCAGTGGGCCAGCCTTTCTGTCCTTCCGCCCCTCCCTGTCTTCCCTCCCCCTCCCTCCTGCGGCTCTGGCTGCCGCAACCTCCGAATCCCACTGCGGTTCCCGGAGGGGGGGGAGGGGCGAGCCGACTAGTGAATGGAAAGGCGTGAGGGAGGGAGGGAGGAGGGCAATATGGGGGGGGGGGGGGCTATCTCCTTGCCCTCTCAGCCTAGACCACCCTCACCCACCCCCGGGCAAGAGAGCGATGCGCCCTTCCGTTTCCTTGGCTTTGCTGAGGAGAGACGAGTGGGAAGGTGAATCCCAAGTAGGGAAACTGAGGCCCGGAATATAGACTCGGCCTTCAGAGAATCGCCCCCGGCATTCCCTCCCACTCCCGCGGCGTTCCCAAACACACCGGCGGAGCGGGAGGAGGGGGGCAGGCAGAGTCCCCGCCTCCTCAGCGAGGCCCGCTGGGGCTGGGGGAGGGGGTGTGATTTCAGCGGGGAAGGGGGGGCGCTCAGGAGCCGCTCCCGCCCCCTCTCCTGCGCCGTTTGCAGCCGCCAACCCGCTTCCGCCCCCGCGCGCGCGGGGCTCCTCTTCTGCCTGGAGACTGCGGCTCAGAACGGCCACCGAGACGGCTGCTCCTGCAACTGCGCGCTGACACGCCGCGTTCACATACCCCCTCCCCCAGAATGGCCCCGCAGGCCGACTGCATCCACGGCGTACGATCAGCTTTACAGCCAACCGCACACCATCACATACGGTACGCACAGCGGTGCTGCGAGCATCAACAGCCACGCTTGACAGTCCACAGACTCGTGGAAAGGACACAAAACCAAGATGCAAACACCGTAATCGCCCCACCCCCATCCCCACCCCAGCCTCCTTCCAGCGTGCACCCCGCAGCACAATCCCTTCATCCAAACCTGTCAGGAGCCTCCAGCGCTTACACAGACACGTTCACCCTTTCAGAAGAAACCTTTTTATTATTTTTTTTTCCAAGAAAAAAAAAAAGCCATATAAATATTAGAGTATAAAACTTGCGTGAGACACAAGAAAAGGGGCGGGGAGCTACGTGACTATGCAGAGAAGCGCTTATAGGGGTCAGTACCGGGGAGGGGGTCGCCGCAGTGCGTGGACACAGCACAAAACACAGCACGGGCCACCGCAGGCAGGTTCAAGGACAGACGGCTGCGCGGAGCCCGCCGCCCGCTGCCCACTCGCCATCACGGAGAAGCACACCGCACTACACTATTGGCTATTCTACACCAGCCAAAGAGGGGCGGGGGGTCGCTACACTACTGTAAGGGCGAGGGAGGGGTTCTAGCACAGCCCCGCCAGAGGAACGGGACTGGGGAGGGGGAGCGGGAGGCAGAAGTGGGTGGGCGCAGGAAGGTTTATGCACAAGGAGTCACTGGGGACTTGAACCAGGCTCTGGCCACTAGGGGGTGGGCTGAGGGCCTGGGGGGGCAGTGGCCTTCACACAGAAGAAATGGCACCTGGCAAGGTGAAGGACCAAGGCTTGGGGAATGCAGGGGCCCCCGTGGAGAAGCCTGATCCTGGGCTGAGAATTTCTGTCCACTTGTTCCCTACTCTAATCCCTTGCCTCCTCAACCCAGGGACCAAGAATGGCCTAGCTGGCCCTCCCTCCCTGCTGGGATGGGAGGGAGGGGACACACTGATTGTTCCACTAGGGGTACCTCTGGGTACCCAGCACCCACAGAGCCCCTCTGACCTCTCCAAGGAACCCGGTCCCAAACCTGCTCAGACCTTCCTTGGACTATAATGCCAGTTTAAATCCATTGGCGCTGGTAGCTCCGCCCAAAGCTGGCTGCTTGGGCGGAGCCTTGTATGTATGTGGTAGGTGAAGGCTCAGCCTGGTGCTTGGTTTATGGCTGGAATTTGAGGATCTGGTCAGTACCCTGGGAACATACTGAGCCTCCTGCAAGACCCTGTTAACAATTGGGTCAAGATTTATCCACCCCCCATCCACATACATACCCTTCCCTCTTTATCTTACCGCCATATACAGTCTTGGAACATGCAATGGAGTCTCCTGTTTGGGGAGGGAGCAGTCACAGCATGCAGTGGATACATCAAACAATGAAAAACAAAACAAAACAAAACAACTGGTCCCTAGAGCATTGGGAAGAGGCATGGTAGCAAAATGCCTTCCCTAAACCCAGCAAGCATCACTACCGTGGAATGGTGACCATGTCTCCCAAAACTTGAGCTTGGGCTCGGGCTCCGGAAGGAGGTGAAGGGACTGGCACCAAACCATGCTTTGGGGGAAGTTTGAGAATTGAAGGAGAGGCCAAGAGGTTAACTCTTCAGAATTATGAGCCTCTTTAGGTCACCAGGTACCTCAACACCCCAACCACCTCACTCAGGAAAGAAGCTTTTATAGGAGTGGGGTGGGGTGGCATGGCTAGGAGGCGGAACGGTTGGGCTTGATTGGATTTGGAAGATGGAGTTCAGCTATAACGAAAACAGCTGTGATCAATGATGTCTACACTGACTCCACCACCACATTCTGGAGACGGGGCAGCTGGACCTGATTGAATTTGGAAGATGGGAGGAGTTCAGCTGTAACTAAAGCAGGTGTGATCAATGATGTCCACACTAACCCCACCACCACGTTCTAGAGGCGGGATGGTTGGGGCCGATTGAATTTGAAGATGGAGTTCAGCTGATACTAAAGCAGGTGTGATCAATGATGTCCACACTAACCCCACCACCACGTTCTGGAGGCGGGATGGTTGGGGCTGATTGAATTTGAAGATGGAGTTCAGCTGTAACTAAAGCAGGTGTGATCAATGATGTCCACACTAACCCCACCACCACGTTCTGGAGGCGGGATGGTTGGGCCTGATTGAATCTGGAAGGTGGAGGAGTTCAGCTGTAACTAAAGCAGGTGTGATCTATGATGTCCACACTAACCCCACCACCCCCATGGGCACAGCAATTGATTGGATGGGGGTTCCCAGCAGAACTCCCTTTGCATATTCAACCCCCTGGGGACAGAAAGGGTGGTGTTGACTGGGCACTTGTTTCTGTTTCCCAAGGGAAGCATGGCCTGGGCCCCACCAGGAGCCTGGGGGTGAGCCCTGAAAACCCCAGTCCTGGGCCCAGGCAGGGAGAGGCTGGGCTGGTTGGGGGGAGGCGGCCCTGTGGCTCCAGGCCCGGCCTCCACGTTACTTCTTCTCCTTCTTGCCAGACTTCTTCTTGTTGCCGTTGCCACCTGCCGGGGCCTTGCCATCCCGCTTGCCCGCGGCGTTGGTCAGCGTGGCGTTGCTGCCGGGGATGTAGACGTTCTGGCGGTAGTCGGGCACGTGCTGCAGGGTGAACTGGGGCCCATAGCGGGCGCTCAGGCCCATGGTGCCAGCGCCTGCTCCCAGCGTGGAGCTCCCATCAGCGGCTTCTGCAGAGACAGGAAAGTCAGAGGCTGAACTGTGGGTCACAACTGCCACTTTTTTTTAATTATTATTATTGGTTTTTTTGTGTGTGTTTTTTTTACAGAGAGTGGAAGAGAGAGGGATAGAGAGTTAGAAACATCTATCAGCTGCCTCCTGCACACCCCCTCCTTGGGATGTGCCCACAACCAACATACATGCCCCCAGACCGGAATCGAACCCGGGGCCCTTCCGTCCGCAGGCCGACGCTCTATCCACTGAGCCAAACCGGGTTTTCAGCGCAACTGCCACTCTTCACAGCAGAAACAGCTAACGAACGCCTGCAAAGCACGCAGCCCCGGCTGCGGAGCACTGGGAAGGCCATCTCTGTCACACTGTGGAGGAAAGGGGCTCTGGACTCACAGCCTCATTTAGGTCCGAGCTCTTTTAACCTATTCCCTTACGGTAAGGGCTTAGGATACGCCAGCTGTTCTTCCTCTCAGGGCCGAGACGGCTCTCAAATCCTGTCCCAGTCCTTCCCAAGGAAGCCTCTCTGTTGCACACTAGACTCTGGGCTCCTGGGGGCCTTCAACTATGGTTTGTGCATCCTTCCCTTCTCCAACCAGGGCCGGGCACAGAGCAGGCATTAGGTAGTTCCGTTATCAGTCAGGAGGGGGTGCTCTGCCAGGCATTCATTTCCGAATAGAGGCCTACTCTGTGCCAAGCGCTTTGCTCCATGGTGCACATGCATGATGGCTTCTGACCTCAGCGCGGCAAGCCAGTAAGTCACACAGTCACACAGACTCACGTGTGTGGCGTTATCCCTACTTCACAGATCAGGTGAGCAAGGCTCAGAGAAGGTAAGAGACGAGGTCACGGCCGCCCCAGCCGGCACAGGTTAGAGCAGGGTGAGGCCCATGTGTGTGTAAGTACATGCAGAGTGTCACCAGCAGCAGCGCGGCCCTCCAAACTCCTCGCAGAGCAAAGGGCAGAAGATGGGCGTGAGCAGCTTCCATGAGGCTGAGTAGATAGATGATCCCGGGGCCAGACAGGCTCATGGTGTCAGAGCGAGCGCCTGCCCACCGCCCTGCTGCACAGGAGACACCAGCCTCCAGGGAAGTACACATTCTGGCCTGGCTCAGCACCACCCGGGAGCTTGTTGGAAAGGCAGACTCTCATGCCCAGCCAGCGTGGCTCAGCGGTTGAGCATCGACCTATGAACTAGGAGGTCGTGGTTCCATTCCCAGTCAGGGCGCATGCCCAGGTTGTGGGCTCGATCCCCAGCGTAGAGTGTGCAGGAAGCAGCCAATCAATGATTCTCTCTCATCATTGACGTTTCTATTTCTCTAATCCTCGCCCTTCCTCTCTAACCTTCCTCTTTGAAATCAATAAAAATACAAAAGAAAAAGAAATGCATGCTCTCTGAATCTGCATTTTAACAAGATCTCCAGGTGATGTGTATTCACGCTAAGGGTGGGGAAGTGGGCTTTTGTGAGGCTTAAAGGAGACAGTGCTTATCCAGTGCCCAGGCGCCCGGGAAGTGTGCAGTATTAGCTGCTGTCACCGTCACACAGTGTGATTGCTGTGTGCGTGCGTGTGCATGTGCGTGTGCGTGTGTGGGTGTGTGTGTGTGTGTGTGTGTGTGGAAGGGGGAAGGAGCTAGGCATTCTAATGGCTGAGTTCACAAGGGAATTGGAGTGCCCTGGCAGTGGGCACGTTAAAGCCCCCGGAATGCCCGGCCCAGCCCCAGCCAGACCAATGAGAGCTTTCCTCTCCGCCTCCCTCGGCCACCACCCCGGACCCAGGGCGAAGTGGACAGAGTGACTAAAGCCGGAGAAGCTGAGTAATCCTGGGACACCAACCAGGGATTGAGAAATAGAAATGTTTTATAAGAACAGCGTAAAAGGGGGGAGAGGCGTAAGAGAAGGAAGGAGGGATGAGCCTGGGTCTTCCCGCCTCCTCACTCCAGCGCTCAGGTTTCTACAGCCTCCAATTCCAGTCCCCAATCCCCGGATGAGAGGGCCTTCAGGGGCGGGGAGGCCGGGCTGGGAGGGAGGGAGCAGCTGCCCACTTCCCGTTCCCTCCCCCAGCCCTTTCATTGTGCTCACATTTCTGGTTTCCCCTAATTGACTCCAGGAGGGTGCTGGGACCTTGACTGCCGGCCCCTCCCCTCCCACGTGCCCTCTTCCAGCCTGGGAACAGAAGGGATGGGGGGAGGGGGCCAGATCCGGTTTTAAGAGCCAAGATTCAAGAGTGATTTAAGGGCCAGAGGGAGACTTCGGAATGAGAGAGAGAGAGAGAGAGAGAGAGAGAGAGAGAGAGAGAGAGAGAGAGAGAGAGAGAGAGGGAGGGAGGGAGGGAGGGAGGGAGGGAGGGAGGGAGGAGGGAGGGAGAGAGAGAGAGAGAGAGAGAGAGAGGAGAGAGAGAGAGAGAGAGAGAGAGATAGGACTTGGGAGAAACAAGGGGAAGAGAGGGAGAAACAGAAATAAAGGAGAGACTTGACTGGGTGACTGGAAGCCAGGCCACCCACACCCTACATGCACCCAAGACCTCTGAGGAGCACCAGAGTGCAAACGACGAAGCCAGCCCCTGCCATCTCTGCCCAGAGGCACAGGCCTGATGCTGGCCCAGGCCCTGTGGCTGCAGAGGAGGTGAACTGGGCCAGAAGGGAGAGATGTTCCTAGAAAGAGGCTGCCACTTCAGTTCTGCCTGTCCTCTCTGCCACCAAGGAGCTGTGTGACCCTGACCAGGCCCTGCATGAGCCAGGCCCCCGTTTCCCTGTGGGTAAATCCGAGGGGAAGAAGTTGGGGGGCAGGCTCTGACCTGTGGAATGAGTTCTCCAATGGTCCCTCTCTCTAGCCCTCAAGAGCCACACTGGGCAGGGACCAGCGTCTTCCCTCGCCCAGAGAAACACTGAAGAGCAGCAAGAAGAACCTGGGCGTCCTCTGGTTTGGAGGCAGTGAACGAGGTGCTGGCATCCCTCTAGTGCCAGCCTGGCCTGGGGAAACAGCTCCAGGCTCCGTAACCTCCCCTTGCCCCTGCCCCCCACCCCATGGCCGGGGCAGCAACCCTAGGGCAGCCCAGGAGGCCTGGCCAGCTGCAGACCGCAGGCTCCTTGAGAGCACACCTCCTCCCTGAGATGTTTATTTAATAAGCCCCCCCAGTGCACTCGCTCTCTCCCTCTCACTCCCCCACAGCGGCCCCACGGGCCTGGCTGGGCTGGCCTCCAGGAACCTCTCTGGCTCGGGGCTGGGAAGCGGGTGTGAAAGTGAGAGTAGGGCCTGACCCTGCCACCTCCACCCTCAGGCCTGTTCCCCAGAGCCCAGGCTTACGCTCAGGTCAGGCCCCGTGTGGCCAGAGGCGGGAGCCCTAAGAGGGACCCCCTCCACCCCGCCGCCTGCCATGACCCAGGGGACCTTCTCAGAGGGTTTGAGGCCATAAATACTCCATTTCTGTTTTTAAAATGTGGATTTAGGCTAAAAAGCCTGCTTCCTGGCCTGAGGGCTCAAGGCCACAAGAGCTAAATATACCTGACTGCCTATTTACTTCCCTCAAGAACCGACTTGGCGTCTCCCCAGGCCCAGCTGCCTCCCTCCTTCAAGCGCAGCATCTGGCCTCTCTGGGCTCCACTCCATCCGTCCATCCGGAAGGCCGGCCGCCTTTGCCACTTCTCCCCTGACCGCAGCCCTGGCCCCACGCGGCCTCGCGGGCATCTGGGGGAAGCTTGCCAGACGTCGCAAATAAAAATGCAGGGCGCCCAGTTCACACGAATGTCAGGTCAACAACAAGCAATTTTTTTAGTGCTGTATGTCCCACTACTCACGTTTGGGACCCACTTACGCTAAAATAATGTCAGTTGTTTATCTGAAATTAAAATTTACCTGATTGATCATCTTGTATTTCACCTGGCAACCCTAATCTGGGAGAATAATGCAGGGAAGTGAGAGTTCAGCTAAACGGGAAGCAGGCTGGATCTCAAGGCAGACAGGGTCACTGTAGCAGAGAGAACGTCAGCTTGGGAGTCGGGCCAGGTTAGTGGGCAAGAGACTTCTCTGCCAGGCGGAAGTAATCACACCTGCCTCGCAGAGCTGCTGGGAGGGTTCACGGACGTGAGGCCCATAGAGTGTGTCTGGCATGTGCCTGGCACAGGGGCATGGTTATGGTGATTATTGTCCTGATTTTACCTGCTTCTTTACCCACCAGCCCTCCGTGCTGGGGGGCAGGGCTCTCGGTCAGTGGTCACTACGTAAAGTCAGTGCCTTCAGCCCCCACCCATCTCCACAGAAGCCCAGGTGTGCTTCTCCCGAAGCTAGTCCTTATTCCTGGGCACTATTCTGATTGGCCTTCTGTCCACTCCTGTGGGTCAATAAAGATAATCACTAACCAGTCTTGGCCACTCTGTATTGTGTGCTTACTCTCTGTTAATTCTCTGCTGAGGTCTTCTATTAGGTCCTCTATAACACCATGAGAGCTGTTATTACTGTGCCCCTTTTAGAGTCAGTGAAACTGAGGCCCAGAGGGGCTTAGTAACTTGTCCGAGGACTCGCAGTCACAGAAGGGGTGCCAGAATTTGGGTCCTTGTTGGCCTGCCTCCAAAGCCTGTGCTCTTCCATAGTAATGGTATTATTCTACTTCCCCCGTTCAGGACCCTTCTCGGGGACAATAACCACCAACAGACTCTCATGTGAAGTTCTCTGTTAGCCTTAGCCTCGTGGGAAAACCAAAATCCTGCTCTGAGGGTGGGTAAGCAAACAAGAGAAGGGGTCTCACCTCTCCTGAGTCTGTTCTCTCTGCTGGGAACACCCCTCCCCAACACCCATGGATGGAGGCCTGTGTGCCAGACCTGGTACGTAAAGTTTTGTGGTATCATCTCATTTAGTTCTTACCACAGCCCTCTGAGGTCGCTGCCCCCTTTTCTTGGCTGAGGAAACTGAGGTGTAGCTATATTAAGGAAATCAGTCAAAGTCACAGAGGTGGGAAGTGGCAGAGCTGGGATCAGACAGATGCTGTTCCCTTCCAGAGGCAGACTCTCAAGAACCACTCCCGACGTCTCCTACAGGGACCTTTCCTTGTTCACTCCCCTCTGGCAGCCCAGGACCCAACCCCTCAGCTGTTCCTCAATGTGGCTCAATGTTCTGGGGTGATGAGTCCCTCAGAACCGGCAGAAAGACCCAGAGGAATCCTGCGGGGTGATAGCCAGTGTCCAGGCAAGTGGCTGTGGGATGCCCAGAACCCCAGATCTCCCATCCCATCCTAACACACACACACACACACACACAGCTCACCGCTGGCGGAGGCCAGGATCATGGCTTGCAGCATCTCCGTGTCGAACTGGTTGTTGGGCCAGGTGCCGGTTTCATCGCCATTTTGGGAGCTGGAGAGAGAGTGGGATGGTGAGCTCAGTGTCCCAGGCCAGCCTAGCTCATGCCCTTCCTGTCCTCTTCCAGGGCTCCCAAATCCAGGACCCTCTCCCCCTACATCCAAGACCCCCCCCCCCCTTTCAGCAAGGTAGGGTACTTTCTATAATCCTTCAGAAGCCAGACCTCCCCCCGCCCAATATGTCAGTCCCCCAAACAGCTCTCCACTGTCTCAGGCAAATCTCAGACACTGGGGCCCTTAGACAGGATCAACTGTGGCTTGCTCCCCACCATGAGAGAGCAGTGCTTACTGTCACCGTGAGGGAGATGGGGCCTTTCCCCAGGGCAGTGACGGTAAGATGGAGCCGGAGAAAGGGGTGCGGACCCAGGAGAAGGGGGTGGGGAGGGGAAACTCAGGGAGCAGGGAGGCTTGCTAAACCCTTGGGATAAAATCCGGGGCACATAAGAACACGCCCCTCCTATTTTTAAGAACGCCCCAGCCCCTCCCGGATATTCCACTATCACTTTTTCCAAGGAGGCACTTCCTTAGTCCTCCAGCTCTCTCACAGCGAAGCCTGGGAAGGCACTGTCCTCTGGAACGCCAGTCCCCAGCCTCCGCCTCGGCAAAATAAACACATTGTCAGGGGATCCCTAAGCCCCCAGCTCCAGCTCCGACTGCAAGGCTGCCTCCTGCCTCCCACTGCAGCACCTAGTTAAGACCTTCAGATGCTCCAAGTGCTGAGAAAAGCAAGGAGTGATTCACGATTGTTAAAAATGCCAACCCATAAAAGAGCCCCAAGGAATTCCAACCCAACTTGGGTTTTTCCATAAGTGACTATTTTCATGCTTTTTTGGAATTTTCAAGGATTAAATCATTTCCATTTTTGAGGAAAGTGGGGGAGCACCCTGACACATACACACATATTAGGGGTCCCTTGGCATATTAACAAGGCAGCAGAGCAAGGACATTTATAAGAATTTCCAAAGAGCATTTTGGCAGTATTGTATTAATTTGAACAATTGCAAAAAACATTTTTACTGAGTTAAGCAATTTAGTCTTTTCTCTGAAATTTTAATTGGATATGTTTGCATTAAAAAAAATAATAATCTTAAAAATAGCAGCAAATAATGAATCTAGGTAAAAGGAGTATTCAGGTGTTCATCATACTATTCTTTCAATTTTTCAATAGGTTTGAAACATTTCAAAGTAAAAAATTGAGAGGTCAAATTAAGTTATCTAAGGAGATGGTGTGGTGTTGTGGAGACAGCTTCCTGGGCAGAGGGAGTGACATCCCTGAGATGGGGGCCAGTTTATTTTATTTTTATTTTTATTTTTATTTATTTATTTATTTATAATATATTTTATTGATTTTTTTTTACAGAGAGGAGGAGAGAGGGATAGAGAGCTAGAAACGTCGATGAGAGAGAAACATCGACCAGCTGCCTCTTGCACACCCCTTACAGGGGATGTGCCCGCAACCAAGGTACATGCCCTTGACCGGAATTGAACCTGGGACCTTTCAGTCTGCAGACCGACGCTCTACCACTGAGCCAAACCGGTTTCAGCAGTTTATTTTATTTTATTTTTAAAATATTTTATTTTATTTTTTTTACAGAGAGAAAGGGAGAGGGATAGAGTTAGTAACTTCAATGGGAGAGAAACATCAATCAGCTGCCTCCTGCACACCTCCCAGTGGGGATGTGCCTGCAACGGAGGTACATGCCCTTGACTGGCATCGAACCCGAAACCCTTCAGTCTGCAAGCCTAGGTTCTATCCACTGAGCCAAAGCAGTTAGGTTAGGGCTTGGCGGTGAGTTTAAAGGACTAAAGGAAAGCCAGTGTGGCCCCCGCCAGGGGAGGTGTATCAGGGGCTGGGCCTGCAGAGCGGACACTAAAGATTTTGGTCCCATCCCAGCAGCTCTGGGAAGTCCCTGAGGGCTTAAAAGGGGGCTGACATGATCGGATTTAAGTACTTAAAGAGCACTCTGGCTCCTGAGAGAGGACTGCGGTTTGGGTTACCTCTGGGAGGACAAGAGCCAGTGATGGGGCCTCAGCCACCTCTGCCTCCAGAAGCCCGACTCAAGCCTGACAGCTGCTGTGGGCCTGCGGAGGGCTAATGGGGACAGAGTGGGGACAGCAGACGGTGGGGACAGGCAGGAGGAGAGCTTTGGGGCTGTGAGGTAGACAATAGGGTCAGATCCCAGGTTAGGAGGATGCCCTGTGGAGGTGGGTAGTGGTGTTGAGGGAAGAAAGGTGAGTGGAAGGAGGGTGGGTGGGCTGGAAGATTTTAGGGAAACCTTGAAGGTTGGAGGCCAAGCACCTGGGCAGGCTGCCCACTCTTTAAAGCTGGGTAGGAGATGAATGAAGTGGGAGAGACTGCTTTCTGAACCATTTGCTGAGAGATTCCTATTTCTGGACACTGGGCTCTCTGGGAGATATATATATATATATAAATTATCTATTTCAGCCTCAGAACCACGTGCAATAAGAGTTATCATTATTGCTCTTTTCCAGCAGATGAAATCAGGGCTCTGAGAAGTTGAGAAACTTTCCCAAAGTCACACAGCTGGTAACTGTCAGAGTTGCACTGAAATAGTCCTAAGGTGGCTCCAAAGCCAATGATCTTATACCCAACACCACACTGGGCTTCAGAAGGGAGGGCCTGGGACTCCAGCAGTAGGTAGAGGGGACTCTTCTAGAATTTGTTAATCAGCTTAACAATAACCCACAACCTTCGGACTAACTTCTTCCAGAATTTGGAAAACAGTGAACAATAAAAGTGCAGGAGAGAGACGATGTCTAATTGATCATTTTCCAAGCACCCACTATGTGTCAGTGCCTCTGACAGGCTCTGGGACTTAAGAGGTGATAGATACAGTGCTTGCCCTACGGAGCTTGCATCTGGGGTGCTGGGTGTGTGGAGGGGAGCAGCCCAGAGGCTGGGCTTTGAGAAGATGCTTCCTGAATCAGGCTCTAAAAAAGGAGAAACCTGGGGCAGTCACTCCTGACAACAGCCTGGATTTAAATGATAAAATAGAAATGCATATACCGGTATGTTTTTTCAGTTCAGTAAAAACCTATCAGCATTTAAAAATATGCATATACAAGATTGGGAAAAAGTAGGTTTATAGTTGTCCCTATGGAAAAAATACAATAACTAATAAATAATAATACAAGAGTAGACTCTGTGTTTCATATACTCAGAACTATAAACCCGTTTTCCTTGCCCTATATATATCTGGAGCTATTATGCAACAATTAAATGACTTTTCAAGGTTTTTTATAGACTTTGGGGAATTTTTGTTATATATTGCAAAGACACCCCAAAATAAATAAATAAATAAATAAATAATCAGTATGACTTTAATTACTATAAAGAAAAAAATGGTGAGAATATACCAGGTACTGAAAACACAAGTTCTCAGTATTCTGTGAACAAATTCATAAACAATTCATTTTATTATCCTCTCTATTTTTGTACAGATTTAAAATTTTTCGCCGAGACCGGTTTGGCTCAATGGATAGAGCGTCGGCTTGGGGACTGGAGGGTCCCGGGTTCGATTCCGGTCAAGGGCATGTACCTTGGTTGCGGGCATATCCCCAGTGGGATGTGCAAGAAGCAGCTGATCGATGACTCTCTCTCATCAATGTTTCTAACTCTCTATCTCTCTCCCTTCCTCTCTGTACAAAATCAATAAAAATATATTTTAAAAAATAAAATTAAAATAAAATTTTTCATATTAAAAATGTTAGTGGTGTTTTCCCTGGGTTGTGAAATTATGAGTACTTTTTCTTGGAAATTTTGTTCCATGTTTCTCATGTTTCCATAATGAGCAGGAATTATTTTAAAAGCAGTTGCAAATTTGTTGAGTGAGAGCAGGGATGGGTAGGAGAGGTGGGTGGGTAGGAGGAAAGGGTAGTGGGAAACCATCAAAGAGAACAGAGCGGGACAGGGGAAGCTGAGGGGGACTGTCTCCTCTGTGCAGAGGTTGGGAACAGCTGCGCGGCGGGGCGTGGCTACAGCCTGAGAAGGGGAACTGGCTGGCGGGATTCAGACTGGAGACAACAGCTGCTGGGATCAGAGCCGGAAGGATGACTTGAGAAGGGACAGTGGTGGAGAGGAGGAGCACCTGGCAAGCAAGATCTTCAGAACTTGGATCTTTCCCCCTCTGTCTGGGCAGTGAGACTCAGCTGCTTGAACTGTAACCAGGTTACTGAAGAACTCAACACTAACCTATTTTCAACCTGGTGAGCCAGTAGCCAGGGTGGTGGGGAAGGGAATGGGGCAGGAAAGCAGTGGAGGGCTGGAACCAGGGTTAGGCTGAATAAGAAATATCCCCTCATTGTGCCTCACTCCAGTTTACTCAGCAGGATGGCTGCACAGAAAACACCCCATCATTCTGCTGTTGATCCTGAGATGCCTCACCACAGGGCCTTCGCACATGCTCTCCCCTCTACCTAGAATGCTCTTAACTCTCTCCTTCAGCTGGCTAATTCATATTCATCCTTCAGATCCTTTCCTCCTGCTCACTGACCAGGTCAAATCCCTATTTTATGTTCTCTCTAGAAGACACTGTTCTTGATAGCACTTATAACTGCAAATATATATATTTGTGTATGTGATTATTTCATTAGTATTTGTCTCCCTCAATACTGTAAACTCCTGCAAACATGGAGTGTATCTTTTTATACCTAGAACACTACCTGGCCTACAGTCAGTCTTACTGTTTATTGAATGAAGAAGGGAGTTGCAGTTTTTGGACTGGGCCGCTAACGCTTATTTCACCTGGGCCATTTGGAGCTGGATCAGCACTGCTTGTCCCATCCCCATCCAGCTCAAGTAAAGGCTGGGAGAGCTCCTGAGCCTTCTCCATCTCCCCAGAGCTCCCATATGTACATCAGGCCACCCAGGCTCTCATTTGACGAAAAGGGACTTGAGACAGGGGTAAGGAGCACAACCCAGAGCAATGGGTGGGGCCTCAGGTTCAGCAATGACTTCTGCCCTGCCAGTATATGTCCTGAGGTCCTTTTTTCTGATCACCTCAGCTCAAATGTCACTTCCTCCTAGAGACCTTCTCCACCCGCCTCCACCACTACACTCACATTACCCTCTTCTTTTCAGAACTTGCTATGACATGAAACTAGACATTTTTGCGTGTGACTTGCTATCAATCTTCTGTCTTCTCTGCTGGCATGAAAGCCTCTGAGTTCAAGAATCATGTCTGCTTGTTCACTATTACAGGCCAGTGTTTAGCACAGGGACTGGCTCATGGTAGATGCTCAATAAATACTTTTTGAATGAAAACATGAATGACCTAATGGATGAGAAGGCTGGCAAGGGGAGGAAGGAGACAGCTGGGTTCGGGACAGTGCAAGGGCGGTCCAAAGGATCAGGTTTGTTGCCTTCTGGGGGCCTTCTAGGAAGTGCCTTGAGGTCCTAATACCAGTGGCAGGACTGCACTTGCCCAGGAGCCGGAGACTCCATCCTACACCCAGGCTCCTGGTTCCTGTGGCAGTGAGGGCTGTCTGTGCATCTGGGGACTGTGGGCAGCAAGAGTCTGACCAGCAAGGAGGCAGGAAGGCAGACTAAGCTGTGCCCCCCCTCTCTCTCCAGGGATCCTTGGACTCCTCCAGGCTCCTGGCTTCTAACAGGGAGGCCTGGCCCAGAGCCCACCTACTCCCCTCAGACCAACTGAAGGTCTTTCTGCTGAGATTTCCCTCCTCCCCCACCCACAGGGGGTTCCTGTCTCAGCAGGAATTCATACCAGATTGAAATGAGCAGCTGGGGCAGCCTAGATGGGAGGGTGTGTTGGAAAGCACTGATCAAAGGCTCTGTGTGTGAGGGGCTTGGGGAGGGAGAGAGGTGGGGACGATGTGTGTGCTGGCTTGCCCACAAGTCCAAAGAAATGAGAGACAGGCAGAGACACCCAGCAAAAGACAGGATAAAATAGAGACAGAGAGAGATAAATAAAGAGAAACAGAAAGAGACTCAGTGAGGCAGAAAGGGACAGACAACAGTTACCAGACATGTAGAGAGACAGAGACACAGAATAGAGAGGACAGCAGAAGTAGTGAGGGATGGAGGAACAAAAACTGGAGACAGAGGAACACAAGGACACTAGCTACGGATAAAAGAGGGAGGGACAGAACAGAGATTAAGGATGGAGACAGGGAGGCAGAGACAGAGAGAAAAGGAGACACTGACAGACTAGGAAGTCACATTGATTCATTGATTCACATTTATTGAGCACCTAGCCTGGCAGGCGTGGTGTGAGACACAGATCAACACAAGTGGATACAATGGTAGGACCGGAGAGGCAGCAATAAAGACAGAAACTGAGATAGAGACCAAGAGAAAGGGAGGGGCCGAGAATGTAAACTGAGATAGAGACTGAGGGGCGGGTGCAGAGATAAGACAGTGGTAGAGACAAAAGGCCCGCTGACTGAGAGGGTAGAACCGGTGGGGGGCCTCCCAGGTGGCCGGGAGGAGGGTCAGGGCCAGGAAGACCTTCCCTAGAGCTCTCCCTCCTCAGCCCCACCTCCAGCTGCGCTGCCTCCCTTCCCCCACAGCTGCCGGCCCTCCCTCCCCCCCTCTGCTCTTTCCTGCAGGCTCCTCTTCTCCTCCTCCTCCTCCTCCTCCCTAGGTTTCTCTGCCTGAACCCCAGCTCCATCCAGAGTGGGGGATGTAGGCAGTCTATGGGTTAATAAGCTTCCCCCACCCCCACCCAGAGACCACCTTAAAACCACCCAGTGGTCCCTCGGAGCCCCCAGGAGAGAGGACAGGTTTCCCGCGGTGGGAGAAGAGAGAGGATGAGCGATTCACTTGAGCTTCCACAACAGCCTCTTCTCTCTGGGGTCTGTGTAAGAACCTCCCTGAAATCTGGGACTGAGGGAAGAAGCCATTCGTAGCAAACGCTGAGCCCTCCCCCACCCCCTCACGTGATCACTGAGAAAATGCCGCAGAGAAGGAGGTGGGCTGGAGAGGCAATCACCTACCCGCTGGTGCCGGGTCTCTGGGCCTGAGAGAAACGCCAGTCCGTGTTGGGCGGGGCTTGCTGTGGAGAAAACAGAGGGGAAAGGGCTGAGTACCCTGAAGTCTGAACGTTACCGGCCCCTGAGGATGGGCCGGGAGGGGAGAGGGGAGCGCACACTGAGAAGAAACTGGTGTCAGATGGGGGTGGGGGGTGGACTCATCTTCAAAGACAAAATATGCCTCGGGTTTCAGAAGGGACAGAGACAAAGAGATGAAAACATTTATGTGACCCCAGTGAGCACACCCGAATCCCTTCGCTAACGAAACTGCCCTTCCTGCCTGGCACCCAGACTCAGACTTCTGAGCTGAGATTCCAGGGCCAAAGGGTCTTCTGCAGAACCCAGAGCCGAGGGGAGGGGTGCAGAGGAGGCCCCCAAATGTGGCTGCTGAGAACGCTGCCAGCCCCAGAAAGAACGCATTCATCTCCGCAGCTGGGAACAAAGCTTCCGCTGCAGCAAGATGGCTGCGGCCCTGGGTAACCCTTTTGGTGCCAGGTTGTGCCGTAACACACTCAGAGGGACGCCTCCTCCAGGCCCTTGGCAATCAAGGATCCCTTCCCACAGCTAAATACATTATTAATTTAGGAGTCACGCCAGCCGGGGCCTTTGCAGGGCATCCAAGCCCCAGGACACCTCTCACCCACCCAGAACTCGGTGCCAGACAATGACTGTGTCTAAGGAGGAGAGAACAAGGCTCCTCTGTCTGGGGCAGAAACTTCTGGAAGGAGCCCAGCAGAGATCAAGCTCCCACAGCCTCCGGGCAGAGCCAACCAAGTCTCCAGGGCTCCCGGGGGCTGGTGGGGAGCCATCCCCCACCTAGATGAAGTGTGGGACTCTGGCCAGTCCTCCCAGCCTCTCCCCGAGGGCGTGTTGTCCCATCACACTCTCACGGAGCACTCCTGAGCGTTCTCCTCCCCCGTCCTGGGGGGTGCCAACAATTAATTCTCACACTCACTCCCAGGAGCAGGGAAGGACGTGTGAGCATCTCGGTGACCCTGGGGAGAAGGAAGTCCATGGCTGCCAAATGACTCACTCGGAGCCGCACAGGTGGCAGTGAGTGAGCAGAACCCAGCAACATAGCGGCCCAGGTGCAACAGGAGCCACCAGCACGGCTCTGGGGCTGCGGTGGGGAAGGGCACCAGCATGTCCTTCCTCAGCCGCCATATTTGTAGCCAGAGCAGAATCTACACGGAGAAACAGGTACCCTGACAGATCTGAGCAGAGGAGCTGGCAAAATTCAAAACCTGCAAAAAGGATGCGGGTCCACGTTTGTTCCTAGGGCTGCCCCCGAAGACCTTTCTCCACTTGGGAGACCCAGCGCTGCCCATCCGGGCAGATGCAAACACCCCTGCTGTCCTCCGACGATCCAGCGCCCTAGCTCTGCTGGCATCAGGAGACCCAGCTTAGGCCTTCCTCTCTCACTGACCGGGAGAACCTGAACAAGTCACTGGCCTCAGTGAGACTGGCATGAGCTGGGGGTGCTGGTACCTCCCCAACGGAAGTGCTGGAGGAGCAGCTGAGATGTGGCTCTCGGGGGAGGTGTGTAGTGAGAGTCTCAGTCAGCTATCAGAACCTCATGGGGGTGTTGTTTCAAAATAGAATTCTAATTCCGTGGGGGCAGGGTGAGGCACAGATTTTGAATAAAAGCTCCTGGCGTTGTGGCACCTTATGCTTTGTTACGATTACAGTTTCTCCATAGATGAGGGCGCCCTGGCACCTGGCTCCCCATCATCCAGAGAAGGGAGGATGGGCCCAAGTCTCAGATACTCTGGTCACCCCCAAAGCCCAGGTCTGAGATCTCTGGACACATTGTAGTCACGGCGGAGCCAAAAACCGATCTCTGGGCGTCTAGAGCGGGTGCGCCAGGCTCCCATTTCCCGCGAGAGGACGGGGCTGCGGGTGCACTGAGGTCCCAGGCTGCGGGTCCCACAACAGCTGGCTCAGCTCTCCCGGCCGGGAACTGCCACCCGTTGGACCCCAGGGTACCTGGGACCACCTGGCCGAGGCTTCTGGGCTGGAGGCCCGGCCGGATAGAGACCCAGCAATCGTGCCCAGAGCGCCCGGACCCGCTCCCACTCTCTGGACGCCACAGCCCACCCGGAGGCGGCCGGGTCGGGCCCAGGACAGCCCCGGCGTGACCTGGGACTGTCACCAGGCTGCGCAGTCAGCGGTGAGGACCTCGGAGGTACTCTGCGGGTCTGATGGAAGCTGTGAGGGGCTTGCACCGCCGGTGGTGTGACCCTCAGCTGGCGCGGGTCGTGCAGGCGGCGCGAGTCCCAGCCCCAGTGCGGGGGCATGCGGGCGGGTGAGGCGTGGCGGGAACCCTGCCCTGCGCCCCTGTCCGGTCTGCAGACGCGTGTTTGGATGGGGGAATAAGGAGGGTTGAGAATAACAGCGAAGTCCCAGATTGGGGTGGAGGGAGGGGTGTTTGGGAGAAACTTAAGAAGAAACTTAGAGCAGCGGTGCGTGCTGGCGCAGGAGCCCGGAAGGCTGGCTGTGGGCGTGGGCCTGTGACTGCCGCCACCCTGGACCCCGGGCCCCCACGGAAGTCGCTGGCAAGATCGCTGGGGCCCAGCCCTTTCTGAGCTGTGGGGGCGGGGCGGTCCTATCACCCTGGGACGCAATCGCCCCACACCTCGCGGGGCTCAGAGCCCCCCATCCCTGTTTGGCCACCCCTGTGGCCCCGCGCAACCAGTCCAAACGGCAGCCGAGCCCGCGGGGGAGGGGTGGGTGCGGGTTCAAAGCCCCTGAGCCCTGGACGGGCAGCTGCTCCTCGCGGCGCGGGGGTGGCGGGCGCCGAGCCCCTCACCTGGCTCCGCTCCCGCAGCGTGCTAGAGGGGGACCGGAAGGCGTCGGGCTCCAGCGCCAGGCCCGGGGGCTGCTGGACGCCCAGGGGCCTTAGAAAAGTGAAGTCACTGCCGTCGGAGGCTGGTGAAAAGCACGTCCTGTAGCAATGGCTCTGCGAGTCGGCGGGCCGCAGCGTCACCTCCATGTACTTGAGCGTGCCGTCCGAGCTCACCTGCAGGTTGGGGCCGGACTGCTTGTAGTAGTCCCGGGAGGGCGAGTCCTGGCGCCGGCAGCACCGGCCCCCACCCCCATCCCCATCCGCGGGTCCCCGGAGGCACCTGGCCGACAGGAAGGTGAAGGTGACTAAGGACAACAGGCTGACGGCTGCGAGGGCCACAATGAGGTAGAGGGTGAGGTCGGACCGCTCGGGAGGGTGCGTGAAGAAGTCGCTGGATTTGGGCGTCTCCTCGGGGGCCTCCTCCTCCAGGACCAGCAGCACCGTGGCCGTGGAGGAGAGCGCAGGGTCCCCGTGGTCCCGCACCAGGACCACCACCTGCTGGGTGTCCGAGTCATCCTCCAGCAAGGCCCGGGCCGTGCGCACCTCCCCGGTGTGTGCGGACACCAGGAACAGCCCAGGGGCCGTGGACTGTGGCAGCAGAGAGTAAGAGAGCCATGCGTTGTGGCCTGCATCAGCATCCACAGCCGTCACCTTGGTGACCAGGGAGCCGGGAGGCACCGAGCGAGGGAGCCGCTGTGGGGCTGGGAGCTCCCAGCCGGGCTTCGGGTGCAGCACAGCCGGGGCATTGTCGTTCTGGTCCAGGACAAACACGTGCAGGGATGTGTTGGCATGCAGCGGGGGAGAGCCGGCGTCCCGCACCCCCACTACGACCTGCAGCATCTGCAGCAGTTCATAGTCAAAGGTGCGCTGGGCAAAGACCCGCCCGTCCTCTGGGTTGACGTACACGAAGGAGGAGGCTGGGGCTCCCTGAACCTGACTCCCTAGGATGGAGTAGGTGAGGCGGGCGTTATCCCCGCTGTCCGGGTCCGAGGCAGCCACGGTGCAGAGAAGGGAGCCGGGGGGCCGGTTCTCTGGGATGTAAGCGGTGTAGAGCTGCTGGGTGAAGGAGGGGGCGTTGTCATTGACATCGGAAATGTTGAGCCTGACGGTGAGATGAGCGTGCAGGGGAGGTGAGCCTGCGTCACTGGCCAGCAGCTCAATGACATAGTGGGATGTGGCCTCCCGGTCCAAGGGCTGGCTGGTTAGCAGGGAGTAGTGGTTCTCAGAGGGCTTAATCTGAAAAGGCAGGTCTGGAGAGATAGCAAGGCTCACCTCACCATTTCTCCCCGAGTCTCTGTCCCGCACGTTAAACAGCCCCACAACTGTGCCCACCGGTGTGCTCTCCAGGACAGGGTTGACCAAAGAGGCCAGGAGTACCTCCGGGGCATTGTCATTGGCATCCCCCACGTCCACTTGGATCACACAGTGGCCTTCCATGGCTGGCTGTCCCTGATCACGGGCCCTGGCGTGAATTTCATAGAAACGTGACTCCTCAAAGTCTATGGGACCCAGCACACGGATGGCTCCACTACTAGGATCTAGGCCAAAGAGAAGCCTCACTGCCTCGGACGTATGGTCTCCAAAAGAGTAGTCTAGTTGGCCATTGGTGCCTTCGTCCGGGTCAGTGGCATTGAGGCGGAGCAGCAGTGTACCCATGGGTGCATTCTCTGCGAGTCCCACACGAAGGACCGAGGACTGGAAGGTTGGAGCATTGTCGTTGATGTCCAGCACAGTGACCGCGATGAGGGTGGTCCCTGAGCGGGCTGGGACACCCCCATCCACAGCAGTGAGCACCAACTGATGTTTCGCCTGAGCTTCACGGTCCAGCTGCTGCTCTAGCACCAGCTCTGGGAACAGCTTCCCATCTTTTAGGGTCTTCACGTTCAGAGAGAAGTAGTTGTTGGGGCTCAGAGTGTAGAAGCTCACAGCATTGGTGCCCACATCTGGATCCTGGGCACTATCTAGTGGGAATCGTGCCCCCAACGCAGCTGATTCTGAGATGCGTATCTCTCGCTCGGGGATGGCAAAGCTGGGAGAGTTGTCATTGAGATCCAGGATCTCTACCTCGACACGGATTAGTTCCAGTGGGTGTTCGGTCACCACCTGGACTGGCAACAGGCAGCTGGTACTGGCTCCACACAGGCTCTCTCGGTCAATCTTTTGATTTACTGCCAGACC